TGAACCGCTATGTACCAGATTGGGTGCTGTGTGCTGCCGCTCTGCTCAAGGAATTCGATGGGGCTTTTGGACGCTCAGCAGACAGATCTGTGCTCTCTGCACGGGAGGCTTACATGCTGTGAAAAGTTCTGCTTTTAACAGTATCTGCTTCGCTTTTTAAAGAAGTTTTTGCTGGCTGGGCAAGGTTGAGGAGGCACCTACTGTGCACCTCATCCCTTATTTGGGACAGGGCAATCTGATGCTATCTGACAAAATACTTCCATGTCATAGAATTTGCTGCTTATTCCCAAATCTTTAACTCGAACCCAGGAAATGTCATCATATACAATACCATATTGTATTTTTAAGTCCCATAGGCAGTAAACGGTAATATCAAAACCACACTCAGTCCAAACTTTGTCTCTCTGCATCCCTGCATTATAATGCAGCTCTGTTATACTGAGGGATGTTACTGCCATTAGCTGAAGCACAGGCGAGTGCTGGTTTGGAGGGCTATGTGCAAGGCGGGTTCAGCAAGACAACAGGAATAGGTGGAGGGATGGGGCTCTTCAGATAAAATAGAAATGCAGAGTTTACCTTCTGAGAGTAGCCTAAAAGAGCTTGGTTTGTTTAGTCTGGCACACTGAAAGCTGTAATAGCTCTATTACTGCGTGAAGGGGACCAACTGAAGGAAAGGCAGGAAACTGTTTAAATTAGAGCAATGTTGGCACAAGAGCAAATGAGTATAAACTGGCCACGTGCAGCATCAGGCTGGAAAGGAGAAGACGCTCCCTGCCAATGAGGGAGGGTTTTAGAGCATCCTCCCAGTTAGGAGAGTCTCGGCCAAACAATTACTGATGTAAAACGGAGCTCACCACCTGTATGCAGCTGACCTGGGCAGTGGTCTCAGCACGGCAGTTCTAAGTGCCACCTCCATCTCAGTCCACAGCTCTCAGTCATGTAATTCTCACCTTTTACACCTTCTCACTCCAAAATGTTCATTATATGTATGTAGTATTTTGCTATTATGTATGATTTGACATATACTACGAACTGCTTCATAAACCACACCATGCTGCATACATACGTATTTTACTCATGATAACAACCAAAGAGTATTAGTGAAAAGCTGCTCTCATTCAAAACCCATGTTGGACCTTGATCATTCAGAAACATGTACATGCCCTTAACTTTACATGAATAAGTTTTACAGTGCTGGGAAATAATTTCGCACAAAGAAGTTAAACACATATAAGCGTAGGTAAGATTAAAGTTTCAGGCAGTTTTGTTATTGGTCACCCCAGCTCCAGAATTAAACCTCTGGGAAAGTGTTATCATAGCTGAAAGAAAAATGCATGGTAAACCAATAATTTTTTCCCCTTTTAAGTCAATGGCATTGACCTACAGTCCCCATCTATCTCTGCATCTCATAGCTACTCAACCCATTTTACCCTATCCAGTATGCTATTACATGAAATACCAAGGCAAGGCTAAAAAAGCACTCCTTCATCTGCAAAACCTGGTAGTAGGCTCCTCCCAGTACATTTTAACTTGGGAGGTATCCCAAAAAGCATACTGTAGAAACATTACTGGAAAACATGAGGCTTTATTATCAATGCACTCTGGAAAATTGTGTGGAATTTGGCAGCTGTTTTTCCAACGGCAGCTCTACATGTCGCTCCAGACCCCACGGAACAGCAAGGGGCTGAAGGATGGATGGGAACAGAGGAGGTAGCACAGCCCTTCAGACTTCCACACATGCAGAGCTGGAAAGTAGGACGTACAAGGAAGATGAGCCATGAAATGAAAGGAGAAAGCGTAGCGTGGGCCTTATGAGAAACTCAAACGATTTGGCACAATCCAAACAGAGGGAGATCACAGACAGAGATATTATGCCTGAGCCAGCCAGTACTACTAAGTACTACATAGGTCCCAAACACAGAAATAATTAAACAGGCATATCATGGACTGAATAAAAAGTTAATAAATCCTTCTTTTTTCAGGATCTAACCTAAAGTTGGATGCACATCAAGGGAAAGTGGGAGAAAAAAAAAGTAGAAAAAACTCCAAACAAGTGAAAGCATAAAAGACGTCCAAGCTGTTACGGGACTTCTATAATTGTTACCTTTAAGCCCCTTCCAGTCAGAAGCAGGACATGACGGGCCAACTGACAAGCTTGACGAAGCCCTTGAATCTGATCTTCATTCTTAATTTCTATGTCGTCTCCCCAGTCTGGTACAATGCCTGTCGTCACATAGTCTGGCTTCTCTATGTGCTTGGAGAAAAAGGATTGAAAATGAAGATCAGAAAACTGAGCATGACAATGGGATCATTTTCTCAGATACTGCCTCCTGCTTCATGGCAGCTTGCCCTTTCTGTCGTAGTATCGACCTTCCTAAGCCATCAGGGCAAACCCTCAAGGCTGCCTCAGTATTTCTTCCACTGCCCTTTTGAACTTAACATTGCCTGTTACTACTGACTTATACAGTCTGTTAACCTTCCAGTACTGAAACCCCAGATACTGCAGCTGACTTCCAGCACAGACAGTTGCAAGTTTTGAAACTGTGAGAGAAAGACTTAAAAACTCTTCATTTTCTTCTGCAAAGAGCAGCACATGTTCTACAAAAGGCATCTAAACACTGGAACTGACAGGACAAACATCGTAATTAGGCTCAAAAATAAAACTTATCAAACCTTTAGTTTCTTGCTCTGACGAAACTCCTGTTAACTTTCATGAGATTGCTTTTTTACTAAGAACCTCAGGATTTAACTTCTTTTAATCTAGAGTTTTTACTTATTAATCCAGTTCACACGCTGCCCATCTGCAACACTATGCAAGGGTATCCCAATTCTCTGTGTCAAGGAAAGTGTAATAAACTTACTTTTTTTTTTTTTACAGAAAGTTCTCAGCCCTCATATAGAGGTAAAATTTCACTTCCGATTTTTTTAAATCCACAATAATTTCTTGACAAGTGTATGAACACAACAAAGTAATAATAACGGTAACATCTTGTGCGGAGAGATGGAAATGCGCTTTCTCTTGGAGGGTCCTGGGCTGTTTCACTGGCTGGGGGAGAGTCCCTTCGCCCACCACAGCCAGGTTGATTCTCTGCCATGTCAACCATGGGGTGAGTTTTGCACCGACTTCACAAAATACAGAATCAAGCTGGTAGACAGAAAACAAAGTGGGGACTTGTGCTGTACACAAGACCATATAACAGCAGGGTGTAGGAGTAAAAAAGAGTGGTGCAACCAATTAACTCTAGCAGGACTTTAATTAGGAAGACTATTATTACTCCTACAGGTATTTAATTTCTACTCTGATAAAAAGTGAAACTATCTTTAGTGGACTTATGTCAACAGAATTTCAGATCCACATTTCATTCAAATTAATGGCATATCAATGCTAATAACATCCTATTGGAGTAGTTTGGGACTTAATTTAGAAAAAAAACCCATAATCTGCTGGATTAGCAACTCCATGCACAGCAGCACCCTTGCTTTCCCCTTGAAGGGCACTTATCCAGTAACTGGTGAGACCTGACCCTGCTGACCTGTAAGGTCTGTTAGGGGAGAAGCCCAAAGCAGTGTACATACAAATGTCGATGTATACAGTTTCACACCAACATCTTGAAAAATAACATGTTATTTCAATGTGACTTCTGGCATACTCTGTATAAAGTAATAACTTTGTCCTCAAGTTTTCAGAGTGGAAGAATTGGACTGATTTTTAGACAGTCTGAGAACTCTAATCTGTGAAGACAACTTTCCAGTATCACAACATATTTCTCCCTCTTTATCCTAAAAGAAGCATCTAAATACAGAATAAAAAGTTTGTTAAGTTCTACAATTTTTAAACCTGTGATAAAGCACGTAACCCTATGTTCTCCCTGCATGTAGAGCTTCCACAGCCTCTTAGGTGTAAGAGCCCTACATTCAGCATCCTTATCTGCTTTCCTATCTAACAACTTGTTAGTATTTCTGGCCCATGGAGATACTCCATATTTTGTAGGAGAAATCTATAATAAAATGAAAAGTAAAATTAAAAAAAGTACTAATACACATCCTGAAAAGCACTGTTTAGAAAGGGTAATTTGTTTTTCCTTTGGATAAAGGAAAGATACTAAACAGTTAATTTGTATACTATAATTAAACAGAAATAAAAAGAAAAAAAAAAAAAAAAGGAAACCAGAAGTGGAACACATGTTAAAACTCTATGAAGAAGTTCCTTTTGTCCCTAAAGTCAATAAAAATAAAAGTATATGTTGCAATGAAAGAACCGCTCAGGGACAGTAAAGACAAGTTTGGAACATGCAGTGGGGTTGCAGGGCAGCTACCAGCAGGTATTGTATGTCCTCTTTCTAAATCTGACATAATCAATTAACAAAACCTTCAGCAAAACATAAACAGTTTTATAATTAGCTTGCTCGAGATTTATACAGAAGAGGACTCAGATGATCATGAATGATTCATACTGACTTTTGGTAGGACCGTCTATAATGGTCCAAAACAAGAATCTGGACCCAGAAGTGTTAAGTGGTGGCAGATGATTATAATATTCCACGTTTATACTACCATAACTGAACAAATCCTAGGTTTAAACTCCCCAATAACTAGATACGCCACTCTGCTTAACATGGTAGGCAGCTGGAAACTTCTCTCACCAGTGCTCCTGTTTCAAATACCAGACCAAGCAACAGGACAGTGATCCAAACCCCCAGCTGTCGGACAACGAACACACTTGATCATGCCTGCAGTCACACTCTATATTGACTGAAGAACAGAACAGATAACAGAAATTGCGGTACCTTAGGAACTGGGTGAGCTGGAGAAACCACGGCTGGCCAAACTATACTATAAGCAGTATTTCTTTGTCCCTGAAAAAAGAAGCATCTTCGCTGTTGATTGCTTGACTGCCTGTGCAGGTAGATACGATTGCACGAAGAAAATATTACACGGCAGCTAGTCACAGAACCTGTTAACAGATAAGTTAAAAATGGTTAATGCTTTTTTTCTACTACCACGTTACAAAATGGAGTGTATGCAAAAAGAAGGGCATCGCATAAAACAAATCTCAGAACTCATGTAGTAGCCAAGGGTAGTTCAAATTGTTCAAACCTTGTATCGTTAAAGAAAGAGCATTAACACTGAGAAGCAGTGAGAACAAAGAAATTCGTCAAACAATACTTTGAAGCTTTATAAAATACCAGATCTGTTTTGGTTCGATGCATTAAAAAGTAGGGTGGGTAAATTCCCCAAAGCTTACAGCCGGGAGCGATGCTTCAACCAGCCCCTGCTTGGAGCAATTTGCACGGCCAGAAGCTGTGCTGTTCAAGGCAACGGGAAACGGTGAATAATGGACAACAGCAAGAAAAGAGGAGAGAAAAAAATGATTTGATGTCGATTTCAGACAATATTTTCTTCCGTGTTTTTGCTGAACTGGTCACAGATTTGAGCATAACCAAGTTAATGTTGCTCTTGCCATTTGTGCCAAAACACAAGGAACAGGGTTCAGTTTATCCTGTCTAGCAGGGCAACAGAACAAACTTCAAGAGATGTTTTTAATGTTGGCCAAAGGCAGTTGAAGGGATTAAAATTCGTAACTGACTTGGAACATTTGAATCAGATTTCCACTTAATTCACATTGGAATTTGGGATGACAGTTCATCAGAGTATTTATTGCCCAAATTTAGTTGTTGGGCAATGAAACATTTTGCCATCCTCAAAAAAGAAAAAAAAAAAGAAAAAAGAGGAAAAAAGGGTAGTGAGGTCTAAAGGCTGTCAGAGACATCAAAACCAAAATAACACGTCACAAAAGACGATGTTAGCTTCAAAACCAGGAAATATACTAAATTCAAAAGGATTATTGACACTGCCCAATTAAACTACAATTACATGTAGCGCACATTTCCATTACTCAAACATTCTACAATCTAAACAGAGGGGTTTTTTGAAATGTAAGTTTCACATAATAGTTAATTTGCTTCTGAAAAATGTCGTATGTATACAAACACAAGAGTAAGCTTTTGTGGCAAGTAACCCATATGAATAACTACTCTTTAGTAAAAAGAAGGTATTTTCATTTAAACAGAAGTAACTAAACATTTGTATATAACATCAATTAATAAATTAATCTACTGCATATTTTGTAACTAAGTAAAAAGGATTTTTTTTTAAAGAAAAGTTTCTTCCATATCTTGTATGTTTTTATTTTATTTTATTGTACCTTCCTTATTCTTCTTTGGATGCATTTATTATGTCCAGATGCAGAAATCATTCTTCTATTTGAACATTTGTCTTGTAGTCAGCCCTTTTACGGCATTCCATGATTTCGAGATATGCACCTTTTTTTGAGCCCCAAAACCCAGAATGAATGAACTAGTTGCATGGGGTTTGCTTGGAAGTGTTCCTGACTATCTCTTTGCACACTGATCAGTGCTACATTTAGTTACCAATATCTGAATTTGTATAACACCTGAAAGTTGTAGAGACTTTTACTCAATGAAAGCAAATTTTTACTCTTTTTAAAAATTGTTTATAAGTAATAAGGCAGAGTTGGAGTATAACCTAGGTACCTCAATGGAAGTTGTCTGCTTCAAGCATCTCCATGAAAGTGGAGATGCCCAGTTAACAGCGGATAGGTTTGGTGGTGGCTTAATTATCATTCCATCAACAACCTCATAATTCACTGCTTTCTTAGGGTCTCCTTCACAATAAAAAATTATTGTCCAACTGAAAAAATAAAAATTATGTAGGCCATCTAACCTGCACAACGTTGAAGTGCATCCAAAGAGCCCAAAGCATCCTACAAAATCCCTGGCCAGTTTGCACCCGTTTCTGGAAGCTGACAGCACAGAATCTGCTGAGGCAGCAACTTTAGTAGCAATCAGTCTGCCAGGGTAGGCTCAGGTAGCTCTTTCACAGAGTGCAGTGGAAGTACCTTGCTCTTACCGCAGCTGAAGGTATTATAAATATATTGAAAACCCACACTTACTGGTGTGGCCAGCTAAAGTCCACGTGGACATCAACATGTAAATGTGTATTTCAAACACTCTCCTTGACACATGGCACGCTGCCTGGGTACCTAGTCTACTGGGTACAAGTTTAATTGGGGAAGAAAAGGTGCGAGTGTGCTTGTGCTTATTATTCGACAATAAAACTCCAAATGTCTCAATTGGGGAAGAAAAGGTGCGAGTGTGCTTGTCAATTATTCGACAATAAAACTCCAAATGTCTCAAAGACATGCTCTTAAATACATTAAACCAGTTTATATTCATTTGTGCATGCCTATCGACTATCCCATATACAGAAGGGACACCTTTTTATTTGGAATAAAATTTTTACCTCTCTTCTCCCAAAGATATGCAGTAAGTGTTGTCACAAGATAACAGGATAATAAGGTGCTGTAGTCTGTTGTTATTCTACTAACTACTCATTATAATCCAGACGCATACAAAAATATCTACTACTTGAACAGGTGAAATGCGACAACCAAATAAACATCACAGTAGTACAATACGACTCCTAAAATACATCACAAGAATTATAAACACAGGACAACCAAGCCTTTATTTGAAATATAAAAAATTTCAACAGAAAACATTCTCCTACAAAGTAAAAATAAAATGAAACAAAGTGGCATTAAAATATAATGAAGTTACTGTTTTATAATGAAAATCTGGACTCTATCCACACACTTCCTTCCTTAAGAAGGCCCTCCTAATGTCTCCACAGCTCCTTTTATTTTTTAAGCTCCCATATTCACAGCTAATTTGATATAGCAACATCATCAATCACCGGAGACAGGAACAACTGGCTGTATTCTCCAAGTCTGGCTCCGATATTCCCTCCTCCCCATCCCTTACACCTATCAAAGCTTTTCTCAGTGCCTTATTTACTTCTGCAACACTGGCGCTCAAGCACATCTTTTTTGTTAAGCTTTCTGTGTATATTAATTACTGTAAGAGAGTCCGTAAGCGCGGGATTTGTGCAGCGTCCAGCAGAAACTGCAGCCATCGGAGCGAGCCCAGAGTTTGAAGCCGGGTAGCCTCATAACACACCAGCACAGCCAGGATGCAAAGTTGACCTTTACGCGTTTCTCCTCTCCCCCAACAATGAGGCTGCGTCACTTGGCATGAACAACAGAATATCTGCCATCAGCTGCAATGAGGAGAATTATCAGCAGCGTTACTGAATTCACACCAGCAGACACCATGTACCGAGCGCAGAAAATTACAGACAACTGCTCCTCTGACTCGACAGTGAATCACACTGTGCGATGTGTATGCACACACATGTCCTGCCGGAGCCGCTGGATTCCTCAGCATACCTTCCAGACCTTAATTTGTATTAATAATATAAATATGCACAGTGAGCTTTTGTGAATTACCAGATTAATTTATCTCGTGCGGGAATTACATTTTCTTTTTCTTTTAAACGAGCCAGCCAAAGGGGCTGAATACAGAATTCAAGTATGATGACGGGCGGGAGCATTTTAAGTGACTGATTTTGCAGCAAAATGTGCCCTATATTTATTAGCCTTTTACTCTAGGTCTATTTTAATTGTTATCTGTTCATGCATGCTACTCTATATAATGAAATGCTCCCATTTCACTCACAGGCTAGAGAGTTTTTTATGCGTATCTCTATTAATGACCCTTAATTAAGTTGATTTTAGTCATTTAAATGTGATTTTCCTCTGGTCAAGAAGTATTTTTAAAGGGAGATGTTGGAAATGAACTCTCACATAAGCCTTTTTCTAATGCTTCTTGTTTAACAGTTACAGCAATTTATCAGCTATGTTTTCAATGAATGAGGTGTAGGGTAGTCATGCAAAAAACTGCTCATCTACATGATTCATCAAATAATGTAATTGTTAGCAACATTTTTTTTTGTTTGTATTTATTTATGAATGACTTCAAATTTCCAAGCAATTAGCAAAAATGCTACCAAAGGATAACCTTCATGATAGTTCTCCTCTACAATAAATACAAGGGTACATCTTAAAAGAGTCAAGAAATAAAATTAACATATTCTAAAATAATTTAGTCGTAGTATCAACAGAAGCACAGTACCAAAATTATTTAGGATTACAAGAATTAACATCAAACTGATTTAGGAAATAAAATCAACTTGCTCTTGATAAAGTAAATCTTACCTAATATATATGAACGATTAATAACAAAAACATTGTTCAGATCACTAATTTTTAAATATGTGATTTAATTATTATTATTTTTAAACCTAAAAAAGAGAATGACCATGGAGATTTTCTTAGTATATATGTGTTTGAGGGGAAAACACTAGAAATCTTTAGTTTGGCTTGTCAGGTCATTTTAATACTATATAATAATTTTCCTTCTTGTGCAAATACTCATTTTGCTGAAACTTCAGAGGAATAAAGTTTAAAAATTACTATCGGTAATAATACGTGGAATCCAAACAATGCGACTAGGTAGGAGTATATAGCTTTTTACTGTTAATTACCAAATGTTCTCATTTTTCAATCTGAAATAATGGTTGTGGTTTGAAAGTTCTTTACTTGCAATTGTAATGCTAACTGTTTAATAAAACACTGACTTTGTAATCCCTGTGTTGCAAAGGTACGTCCAAACTTCAAAAATAGGATGGGAAAGATTAAAGGTTCTCTCCAACTCTGTGTAACCTGTGTAGCAGAAGAGCAGCTCACATTTCACAAGCAATAACCTGTGCATTTGCTAAGAAAGGAAAAAAAAAAAGAAAAGAAAAAAAGAAGAACAACATAGGGAAATGCCTGAGGCAGAAGTTGAAACTGATTGGGCAAAGTAGAAGGACAAGAGCCCTTGAAATTAAACAAAAGCAAATTCATTCTGTTGACAGATGTTGATTACATCAAAGCCATGAAAGAACTTTTTTCTCTTTCCTTTTTTTGCAACTAATACCTCTATATTTTCTGTACGTTAAGGATATAACATATCTTAATCAACATAACCCAATACATAATAATTTTTAAATTTGGTAAAAGTATATTGTAAAGAGGTCTTAACGACAGGCTTCTCCAAACAAGAGTGTATTCACATGGTCATGTCTGCATACCCGTGCTGGTCATGCCATCATCAGCCCCTTACTTCCAGGGGTTAACTGCTCTGGCAGCCAAATAAAATACAGAGCGCGCTGTGTAATTATGGAGACAGTCAAAGGGCAGACTCTATTTTGAAATCTATTTGCACAGACAAGGTCTTCCAATTTCGCTTACAGGAAACAAGCTGGTAAAGGGGGTCTCCTCCTCTCCAGATGCTTTCCACACTTTTTTCCCACATCAGGAAATCATGGACATGGACACCATGCAGCACTGTTTCCTGGATTGCAGGATCATGTCATTACAAGGAGAAGAGCAAGTCCATGCTCGTGAGAAATATTTCCTCCTAATAGCCCATATTAGGGGAAAACAAAACCCACAAGGACTACTGAAAATGTGACTAGTAGCAATTTGTAAACAGGACGCAGCCACAGCTGTCATGATGGTACTGGAAAAGAGAAAACAGAAACGAAAGGGTAAAAACACTCCAGTTTTAATAGCATGATTGGGGAAATGAAATATTCATCAGGATAGATGTGACTTCAGTTAGAACAGCAACACATTGGTGAAAACCCCGTCAACAGCGTGCTTATGGCTGTACCCTGATAAACCGAAACACACACCAGTATCTTGCAAACATTCTATTCTAATCGGCATTGGTTTATTTAATTATTGAAATTAACTGGAAATTCATGACAGAAGTTGTTTCATTAACAAAGGCATCAACAGAATCGCTGTTCTCGTTATCCTCGTAAGAGCCAATGAAGCAAGGCAGTGGCCGAATGCCGACCGACTCTAAGGGAGCAGAGTTAGCCCCTCTGCTGACACCACTGGGACTTCTCAGTGACACCAAAAAAAGTCCAATTTGGCCCTCAGGACCACTCACACTCCCTGATAATTAAAATTTGCCCTTACTTCATGGAGAGCGGAACTGGGCAATTTGTTTGCTGTATGCTAATACAAATGAGCTTTTTCACTGGGTGTAAATTTATAAACTATATAGAAATACATTCTTGTTTGGCTTTACTTATTACGACTTAGTCCAGATTAGCCCGTTAAAATGATGAATCAGTGCCTTCTGGAATAGTGCCGTTCTTTGAATTCATTATTCAGTCAAACTTAGGGCCAACAAAATAGCTGTTCTACAAGTTGGTAAACTGGGAAACCACAGAGAATCAGAACCTCTTCTATTTACAGGAAGGATGACAGCCTAAGGGTACTTCATCCCAATAATAACAACATTCAAGTAATGGTACCCAGGTCATGACAAGCCATGACCCTCCCCATAGCTCCTTCAGGAAGCTGGCTCAGTGCCACCTTTTATCAGCAGCAACCGGCAGTGACACTTTAACAAACAAGAAGAAAAGGAAAAATTAATGTTATATCCTTAAAAAACCCTTCGACCAATTGAGCAGTTATATAAATATATACACATAGAGTCACACCAAGCCAGTATAAGAGATAAATTCACTGACCGAGTAAAACTCTGGTATCGTTAAACAGCACTCTCCCATTTTACTACAGGATTTAAAAAAATACAGAGCACAATTTAACTCTATCTGAACGATATTCATTCATATGCCAAAGAAAATTAATTGTCTATTACAGAAAATGGGACTGGGCTGTACAGGCTTAACTTTGGGAACAGGGTACTGCAGTTCTCCCGTAGAGCCTTCCATCCTACTATTACTGCTACTACATTTTCTCTCTCCAATAGAACATCACAAGTAAAAAATAAAAAGAAAGTGTTGCCTAAAACAGTATCACAGCAAAATGAAAGAAGTCATGTACAAAAGCGATACTAAGAGTTTCACACACAGTTAATATCAGGGGAATTTAGGCTCCAGATCACAGCATCTGGCAAGTTTCAACTTCTGTGACTAGCAGAAGAAACATTCCTCTTAGGTTACCGCATTCCTGTATTGAGTAAATTAATTTATCATAAAGTGAATAAATTAGAACAAGACACATCTCTGCTCAGTTTTGCATATTTAAATACTTCTTTCAATCACTTTCTATCTATCTTTAATTTTTTAAAAAGATCAGAGGAATTACTTTCGCTTGAAAGACTGCTTATTGTATTCATCATTTTGATTTTGTAGGGAAGTAACAACTGTTGGAACAAGTTACTCAGTTTAAAAAATAGCAGTTGTTTCAGATTAAAATAATAAGCTATTCAAATAGTCCTCACACACACGCACAATATCAAATCTTGTTGTTAACATGCACCCACCCACAGCTTTAATGTTCATTGAATCCTACTGGGATAAAATCTTTTCAGGTGCTCTGTGAAACAACTGTTTTTCAACTGGCATGGTTATGTCCTATATACGCGCCTGATACAGTATTAAATGTTAAAAATAAATCCTACTTTAACCTCTTAAATTTCCACTGGAAACGGAAAAAATATGTCTGAATCATCACTAAAAACATTTCCCACAGAAATCCTTTCAGTGGATGAGCAAGGCTGCTGAAATAAGAGTAATCTTTGCATAGAAGATTTAGGAGTGCTCCTGAACGTCGTATTAGGATTTTCTGCGTAGCCTGCAACATAGCAAGAGAATGGGCAGACAGGAGTCTTCTCCTCACACAAAATGTAAGACCCATTGCAGTAATTATTTTCAACACAGCTGCAGCTGAATCTCTAAGGATGTAAGATGATTCCTGAATCGTAAGCCAGTCTTCTCTCAAAATTAAAAAAAAAAAGTGAGCACTGCAAGCAATTTTGGGACGAATACCTTAATAAAATAAGATTACGTTACTACTCATTTGGTAAAAATGACAGCTAGTAATGTTCCTTGCCTGTATTTAATGTTGTTAACTACTCGTGTTGTCCTGTTTTCACATGAAAACACAAGTTACATTAGGACAGTGAGTCTTTACTGAGAACACTCATACCTGCCCTTCGCTAAAGAGTGTAAGGTTGGGAATTACATCCTATTGCACTTCGAAATATATGAGTAGAGAGGTGCAAGAGTTTACAGCTGTTTCTACTAAACTATTGCTGTGGTGGTGGAAATGAGCTCTTACTTCCCTTCCCCACCCCTCCCCCCTGCAAGAAGATGCTCTGCACAAGGAAGATGTTCCAGTCAAGAGCTTGCTGCAGATAACTTGTAGCATCCTTATTAAAACACTGATTTTTAAACCTGCCAGTCATTAAAATGTGCTATTAACGCATAACTTGGAAGCTTATTCATAAATATGTGACATTTGGGTCACTGAATGAATTATAATGATAGGATTATGGATCAAAATTGGAAGAGTACAGTATAATGTTTGGGAGCTGTTTTATTTATTTATTTTTTAAAATACCTTTCACTTACCTCCTTGCTTAACATGTACAAAGACCTCTTTCTTATCATAAAAGTCCCTGTTTATCAAACAGTGATACAGGAAGAAGTTGTTTACATTTTCTGAAGTACCAACATACATCACTTATGACAAAAAAAAACAAGCACTCCATAAGAAATTCTCAATCACTGTCAATCATACGCACTAAAATATACATAAACCAAAGCATGTGGTGTGAACTATATTAGATTCAAACTGAACACAGACTTACAACTATAACAAACAAAAAACAAATAATTACAAGTGACTCATAGGCCTATTTACACATCTCACCAAACTGCTGGAAAGGTAGGTAACCATAGAAACCTGACAGCCTAAATTCAGTACTTTAAAATTTGCATTTAGTTTAAAATGCTGAAAATGATGTTTCCATTTGATGAAATCCCTATTTTTAAAGGTTTCAGTTTTTGCTTTGGTACCTAAATAAACGCTCAAAACTATTTCATCTCTCGCTCACTATTAGATTTGATTTTTTCCGAGTAAAGATTACAGTTTACTCTTTGTAATATAAAATGTTAACACATTTTAACACTGTGAATAAATACTTCTAACATTTCTTTAACGATTCAAATTAAATAATATATAAAACAAACACTCCCGCACTTACTATTAAATGTTTTGCATATAGACTTTCCTAAGCTCCACACCAGCAAAAAAAAAAAGATTGCTCAAATTAACTGTTAAAGCTGAAATGCTAATAGCCTTTTCAACTTATAGTTCTTTTTCACTGACAATTACAATTTGCATGGCTTAAAATTTAATACTATGATTAGTACTAATGTCCTATATTTTACTTCATAATCTAAATGAGTAAAATATTATTTTTGTAGTTCACTGGCTCTTATACTTAGGCTGTAATGTTCAGTGTGTATTTCATTATGCAGATGAGCAATGGATGTCGTCTAACATGATTTAAATGGGTCAACAGTATTTTCCTATTCATATTAATCATCCAGACAGCCACCAAAAAAAAAAAAAAAAAAAAAGCCCCTTGAAAATCAAGCTAGGAATCTCTTTTTATCACAGGCTCTTCCCACTAGTCCAACAACAACAGACCCACAGCACAGGAGATGGGAGCCTTGCGAGCGGGGAGCCAAGGCTGGGCGCTGCTCCTCTCGCTGGTGCACAGCTCCAGCCGCCCGGGCCACCCGCGGCCCCGTGCCAAGAATGATTCTCATCCCACGAAGTTCAATGGGAGCTGTGTGTTGACAAACTGAGCGAATTTGAATCGGCAGAATTCGTTCTTGGCACAGGGACACGCAACTGCGCTGAATGCAAAGGCGTGCTGCCCGCTGACGCTGCGCTGGCAGCCGGGCTCTTGCGTCAATATGCCTCTTGGAGAACTCCTGCTAAACTCAAAGGACACAGGATCAGGCCAATTATTTATAAAACACATCAAAATTAAGGGCTCTGTTCTCAAGCCACGTAACCATCATCTATGGCCCATTTCATACATAGCATATTGCCATTAAAATGCTAATTTATAAATAACAGCGCTTCTGTGGAAAGGGAAGCTGCTCTAATAAATGCCAAAGGGAAAGAACATAGGTTCAAAACAGGCAGAAAGTAACAGGAAGATCAGGTGCCAAACATTCAGATGCATTTATTCAACGAGTATCAAATAAAGATTAAAAAAAAAGGAAGTGACCAGGATTCCCTCAAACACCAAAGCACTGCCGTGGCACAAAATCTCTACAAAGGCAGAGATGACGCATTTGATTACATTGCAGTGTATCAGGGCTGGCAGAGCTCGCCTGGGAAACCCCACGCTGTTCATACACGGGGCAGGTCCTGCTGGACAACACAGGGAGGTCCAAGCTTTTCGGGGATGGGATGCGGATGGTGGGACTCCTTACCTCCTCCTTTATCGCTGCTGGACGGTGGATTTAC